TAAAAGGGCTTCGATAAATTCCTCTGCGAGCTGCCTATCATTTTCGACATTTGGTGTCTTTCCGTCATAGGTATGAACGATGTGCTCTCGTAATTTAAATATGGACTTGGCTACCTTGTCCACATCACTGAGATTCTCGATAATATCTTGGCTGTCTGTCACAATTGCCTGCATTGCGTCGTTGTTTGTACTAAGAGCAAGCGCATGGGAAAGATCCAAGAACTTCTCCTTCAATTTGTCTGCCTTTTGGGACTTCTTGCCAGTTTCTATTTCAATCTGCTTTTGCTTTTTCTTTTCCAGTTGTTTCTCCTCGAGTCCTTGTTTCTCCACCTTTTCCTCTTGAGGTTTGGATGCTCCATGAAGTTTCTTGACATCTTCCACATTTTCTTCCGACACCTTCTCAGAAAGAACTTCACAAACTTCTGCTTTCTGGGCCTTCTCCATGTCCTTCTCATCTGGCTTCTTGTCATCCGCCTTCTGGCTTTCTTCAACCTTTTCTTCGGATATCTTTTCAGCAACAACCTCAAACTCTTCGGCCTTCTGGGACATCTTTTCGGCATCCTTTCCAGCCTGCTTCTGTTTGTTATCCTCCAGTTGCTTCTCCAGAGCCTTTGCTTCCTTGGCATTAGATTCGGAGTGCTTGACATCAGCCTTCTTGCTTTCTTCAGCAGCAACCGCAGATTCCTCTGCCTTCTGTGCCTTCTTTTCGGCATCCAGTTCAGCCTGCTTCTGTTTCTTATCTTCCAGTTGTTTCTCCTCGAGTTCTTGTTGTTCCTGAGCCTTTGCTTTCTTGGCTTTAGCTTCGGTGTCCTTGACATCTGCCTTCTGGCTTCCTTCAACATTTTCTTCGGATATCTTTTCAGCAACAACCTCAGACTCTTCGGCCTTCTGGGACTTCTTTTCAGCATCCTTCTCAGCTTGCTTCTGTTTGTTCTCCTCCAGTTGTTTCTCTTCCAGTTCTTGCTTCTCCATAGGCTTTGCTTTCGTTGCTTTAGACTCGGAATCCTTAACATCTGCTTTCTGGCTTTCTTCAACATTTTCATCGGATATCTTTTCAGCAACAACCTCAGACTCTTCGGCCTTCTGGGACTTCTTTTCTGCATCCTTCTCAGCTTGCTTCTGTTTGTTCTCCTCCAGTTGTTTCTCCTCAAGTTCTTGTTGTTCCAGAGCCTTTGCTTTCTTTGCTTTAGCCTCGGAATCCTTGACATCAGCTTTCTGGCTTTCTTCAACCTTTTCTTCGGATATCTTTTCAGCAACAACCTCAGACTCTTCGGCCTTCTGGGACTTCTTTTCAGCATCCTTCTCAGCTTGCTTCTGTTTGTTCTCCTCCAGTTTTTTAACTTCGAGTTCTTGCTTCTCCAGAGGCTTTGCTTTCTTTGTTGTAGCCTCGTAATCCTTGAGATCTTCTTTCTGGCTTTCTTCAACCTTTTCTTCGGATATCATTTCAGCAACAACCTCAGACTCTTCGGCCTTCTGGGACTTCTTTTCAGCATCCTTTTCAGCTTGCTTCTTTTTGTTATCCTCCAGTTGTTTCTCCTCAAGTTCTTGTTGTTCCAGAGCCTTTGCTTTCTTTGCTTCAGCCTCGGAATCCTTGACATCAGCTTTCTGGCTTTCTTCAACCTTTTCTTCAGATATCATTTCAGCAACAACCTTAGACTCTTCGGCCTTCTGGGACTTCTTTTGTCGTAGGAAGAGTCGAACGAAGACAAACAATAGGAGGTCAACAAAGAGGAGTTCAAGAACAACAAGGTCTCGGAAACGAAAGAAACGAAATCGAAGCCTTAGGAACTGTAGTCGAAAGACCGAAAGAAGTTGGAAAAGAAGCCTATAGAAAAGTCGTTGTTGGAGTCTGTCTTCGGCCTTCTGGGACTTCTTTTCAGCATCCTTCTCAGCTTGCTTCTGTTTGTTATCCTCCAGTTGTTTCTCCTCAAGTTCTTGTTGTTCCAGAGCCTTTGCTTTCTTTGCTTTAGCTTCGGAATCCTTGACATCAGCTTTCTGGCTTTCTTCAACCTTTTCTTCGGATATCTTTTCAGCATCCTTCTCAGCTTGCTTCTGTTTCTTATCTTCCAGTTGTTTCTCTTCGAGTTCTTGCTTCTCCAGAGCCTTTGCTTTCTTTGCTTTAGCCTCGGAATCCTTGACATCAGCTTTCTGGTTTTTTTCAACCTTTTCTTCAGATATCTTTTCAGCAACAACCTCAGACTCTTCGGCCTTCTGGGACTTCTTTTCTGCATCCTTCTCAGCTTGCTTCTGTTTGTTATCCTCCAGTTGTTTCTCTTCGAGTTCTTGCTTCTCCAGAGCCTTTGCTTTCTTTGCTGTAGCCTCGGAATCCTTGACATCAGCCTTCTTGATTTCTTCAACCTTTTCTTCAGATATCTTTTCAGCAACAACCTCAGACTCTTCGGCCTTCTGGGACATGTTTTCGGCATCCTTTTCAGCCTGCTTCTGTTTGTTATCTACCAGTTGCTTCTCCAGAGCCTTTGATTTCTTGGCTTTAGATTCGGAGTCCTTGACATCCGCCTTCTTGCTTTCTGCAGCAGCAACCGCAGATTCCTCTGCCTTCTGGGCCTTCTTTTCTGCATCCTGTTCAGCCTGCTTCTGTTTCTTCTCTTCCAGTTGTTTCTCCTCGAGTTCTTGTTGTTCCAAAGCCTTTGCTTTCTTGGCTTTAGCTTCGATGTCCTTGAAATCTGCCTTCTGGCTTTCTTCAACCTTTTCTTCGGATATCTTTTCATCAACAACCTCAGACTCTTCGGCCTTCTGGTCCTTCTTTTTGGCATCCTTTTCAGCCTGCTTCTGTTTCTTTTCTTTCAGTTGTTTCTCCTCAAGTGCTTGTTGTTCCAGAGCCTTTGCTTTCTTGGCTTTAGCCTCGGAATCCTTGACATCAGCTTTCTGGCTTTCTTCAACCTTTTCTTCGGATATCTTTTCAGCAACAACCTCAGACTCTTCGGCCTTCTGGGACTTCTTTTCAGCATCCTTCTCAGCTTGCTTCTGTTTGTTCTCCTCCAGTTGTTTCTCTTCGAGTTCTTGCTTCTCCAGAGCCTTTGCTTTCTTTGCTTTAGCCTCGGAATCCTTGACATCAGCTTTCTGGCTTTCTTCAACCTTTTCTTCAGATATCTTTTCAGCAACAACCTCAGACTCTTCGGCCTTCTGGGACTTCTTTTCAGCATCCTTCTCAGCTTGCTTCTGTTTCTTATCTTCCAGTTGTTTCTCCTCAAGCTTTTGTTGTTCCAGAGCCTTTGCTTTCTTGGCTTTAGCCTCGGAATCCTTGACATCAGCTTTCTGGCTTTCTTCAACCTTTTCTTCGGATATCTTTTCAGCAACAACCTCAGACTCTTCGGCCTTCTGGGACTTCTTTTCAGCATCCTTCTCAGCTTGCTTCTGTTTGTTCTCCTCCAGTTGTTTCTCTTCGAGTTCTTGCTTCTCCAGAGCCTTTGCTTTCTTTGCTGTAGCCTCGGAATCCTTGACATCAGCCTTCAGGCTTTCTTCAACCTTTTCTTCAGATACCTTTTCAGCAACAACCTCAGACTCTTCGGCCTTCTGGGACTTCTTTTCAGCATCCTTCTTTGCTTGCTTCTGTTTGTTATCCTCCAGTTGTTTCTCCTCAAGTTCTTGTTGTTCCAGAGCCTTTGCTTTCTTGGCTTTAGCTTTGGAATCCTTGACATCAGCTTTCTGGCTTTCTTCAACTTTTTCTTCGGATATCTTTTCAGCAACAACCTCAGACTCTTCGGCCTTCTGGTCCTTCTTTTTGGCATCCTTTTCAGCCTGCTTCTGTTTCTTTTCTTTCAGTTGTTTCTCCTCAAGTGCTTGCTGTTCCATAGCCTTTGCTTTCTTGGCTTTAGCCTCGGAATCCTTGACATCAGCTTTCTGGCTTTCTTCAACCTTTTCTTCGGATATCTTTTCAGCAACAACCTCAGACTCTTCGGTCTTCTGGGACTTGTTTTCAGCATCCTTCTCAGCTTGCTTCTGTTTGTTATCCTCCAGTTGTTTCTCTTCGAGTTCTTGCTTCTCCAGAGCCTTTGCTTTCTTTGCTGTAGCCTCGGAATCCTTGACATCAGCCTTCAGGCTTTCTTCAATCTTTTCTTCTGATATCTTTTCAGAAACAATCTCAAACTCTTCGGCCTTCTGGGACTTCTTTTCAGCATCCTTCTCAGCTTGCTTCTGTTTCTTATCTTCCAGTTGTTTCTCTTCGAGTTCTTGCTTCTCCAGAGCCTT